GGCCATTGAACCTAGCGGGGTTCCTCCCCTGCAGCACTGCCCTGCGCTCCCACGGCTCCACGGGAGCCGAGCCCGGGCCAGCTGCCACCGGGGCACCCGGGGACGGGCAGCTCCTGGCTCTGTCCCTCTGCCCCGTGGCTCTCCCACCCCCGGCTGTGACTCAGCTGATACGCCCAAGCTAATGAGCCCCACTTTTGGGAGGGGTTAATGGGTCACTGCTGCCCCACACTGAGCTTAGGCCACCACCAGCCACCCGGGGCGCTCCCGACGCCCTTTCCCTCTCTGTTTCAGGGTCTATCTCTGCTTGCATCCCACCCAGCAACAGCCCCGCCGCCAACTCGGGTCCCCACCGCTCCTTGGGGTGGAAGCTGCGGAGGCTGCTGGAGCCGGTCCTTATCTACACCGGGTGATAAGAGCTTCCTGCTGAGCAGGAAAAGTGAGACCCAGGGGAAAGGCAACTCCTTGGCACGGAGCGGGTGGTGCCGGGCGCCCTCATCAGAGCCTCTTCAATCCACTTTGCGCTGGGTATTAGGAACAATTCCTTCCCCAGAGGGCTCAGGCATTGGAACAGGCTGCCCAGGGCAGGGCTGCAGTCACCGTCCCTGCAAGTGCTCACACACCCTCAGTGCCATGGGGCAGTGGTGGCCTGGGCAGTTGGGACTGGGTGAGCTGAAAGGGCTTTCCCAGCCTCACTGATTCTGTGATTCTCTGACGTTGGAGGATTCCCCCCCTCTCCATTTGGTCCTCCGGCAGAGAGCACAGGGAAGAGGGCTCCGTCCCGCGGTGATTCAGCATCCGGCCATCAGCTTTTATGACCAGCCATGGCAAAACGTGAAAGGCACCCGGTGAGCGAGGACGCGGGGAAGCAGCAGCAGGTGGAGCAGCCCCGCAGCGGGCACAGGGATGTCGGGGCGCTGGCAGCGGGATGCTCTGCCCCTCTGCTCCGCAGCTCTGCCCAGGACACGATGCGGGGCCGCGGGGGACCCCCCTGGGCCGTGTCCTGGGGATGAGCCAAGATCCCGCGGTGACCACGCTGCGCCCGGCCCACGCAGCATCACTGCCAGCCCCGCCAGCATCGCGCCTGCCTCAGCCCTTCCGCACCCGTGACCTCCCTGCCCTAATCCTCGGCTCAGCAACACCCTCCCGCTTCCTCCCTCCCGCCTGGGTGCGCCCCGCTCGGCGCCCACTCCCGTCCTCATCCCTCTTGCTCAAGCTGCCCCGGCTCCATCACGAGGGCCCTGGTGCACCCTGGAGCTGCTCAGGGCAGTGGGGACCGCGTTGTCCCACCCTTGCCGGGGGTGGCACCCGCACTGCAGGGCTGCTGCCACCGGGGCGGCATCGCTGTCGCTGCAAGGCCTCAGGAGAATGCTGTGGAGGCCCTGAGCACATCCAGACCCGGCTCATCCCCTGAGCCCAGCACGCTGGGATGCTCCTGCAGCCCTGACCCCATCAGACATCGAGGCAGCATCAGCATTTAATGGCAGAGCAGCAGGAAACAGCGTTCACAGCCTGAGGGAGCTTCACCCCAAGGGGCACCGGTGCCCCTGCACCTCCTACACGTGCCTGGTGCTGCCCAAGCACTCGGCTCCACTGCGGTGGTGGGACTCTTCTTCCACAGTCCCAGGCCCGAGCCAGTGGAGCACCAGCAAAATCCAGCCCCTGGCCAGCCATGGGCATCCCAGCCCCATCACTGCCGCTGCCACAGGTAGGTCTGGATGGAGCTGGCTGGAGCCACGGCTGCGATGAGGCCAACGCCATCGGCCAGCCCGAAGGTGATGTTCTGTGGGGACCTGGAGGGTGAGGATCAGCGGGGTCAGCCCTGCAGCAGCTCCATGGGTGCCCAGGGCGCAGCAGGACAGGGCCCCACTCTGGGTGCCTCACTCACCGGTTCAGAACCACCACCACCACGGCGCCGTCGGGGCGCAGGAACGCAGTGTACTCCAGGTCTGTCTTCTTGGACTCCTTGGAGGCAACAAGCCCCACGCGCTGGGAGCCCTCAGGGATGAACTTACTGCATGGGCAGGAGCAAAGAGCAGCCCCAGGAAGGGAGTCAGACCCCAGAAGAGCTCCTGTCCTGACAAGCTGCTACAGCAACCATGGAGCTGGGACCCAGGCAGCACGCTGTGGGGACCCCAACCTATGTCGGGGGGGTCCTGACCCACCTGAAGTGCCCCATGTGGTAGAACATGGGCTGTTTGTAGAAGATGCCTTCGCTGCTGTCCACAATGACGGGGCTGTCCACGTAGTTCTTGACCCAGTTGGGGCCCCCCTCCAGGTCCAGGGCCAGGTTCCAGTCGGTCCAGCCGGACACAAAGTGGTTCAGGTTCTGCAACAGAACAGCCCAGATGGGTGCCCAAGGACCGGGGTGCCAACAGGAGACATGGCACAGTGGGAACCCTCTGGGGCCTGCCCCACGGGGCAGCACCGGGGCCTCACCGTCAGGATGCTGTGGCTGTACTGGTTCCCCCGCTCCCAGCAGCCCAGGATCACATCCCTCTCCCAGAAATGGGCCCCAATGCACGCCTCCGTGGCTAGGATGAAGTAGTCTGGGAACAGCTCATGAGTGGGCAGCACCGTGTCCTTTATGGGACCGATGAAGTCCAGGTACCAGTGGATGCCGATGCCATGGACATAGCGAGCTGCCTCTTCATCCTCCAGGACCTGGCAGGGAGACGTCAGCCACCACGGGTCCCATGGGGCAGCGCACCAGCCCCGCGGGGACGTGCTGTGACACAGGAAGGGGGCTCTGCCCCCTCGCCGTGCTGCTGGACCCCACGCTCACCACTTTGGCCCAGTGCGGGAGGTGGAGCCGGTTGTCATCCAGGATGATGAGCCGGATGCCACGGTGGGAGCTGTTGGCCAGCGCGGGGCCCAGGTCCCGTGCGATGAAGTCCCGCTGCTGCTCGGCCGTGAAGCCCAGGCACTGGAAGGGGTAGTTGTTGATCAGCCCAGCCGAGGGCTCGTTCTCCGCTGTCACTGCCCAGAAGGTCAGGTTGTGTTTGGCGTATTCATCCAGGAACCTGGGTGCGGAGCAAGGGGTGAGCCATGGGGTGACCCCAGCGCCGGGTCTCTCCCCTGTCCCCGGGTGCTCCTCACCGTACAAAGTAGTTGGCCCAGGTCTTGTGGTACTTGTCCCCCGCCTGCCCCTTCAGGGTGCCCTTCCCCACGAAGGACTCGCTCGTCTTCATCCAGGTCGGGGAGGTCCAGGGGCTGGCGTAGAGCGACAGCGGCCGCTTGCTCATGGCCAAGGCTCGGTGCAGGAGGGGGATCTGTGGAGGGGGCAGAGGGATGGGCTGAGCTGAGCCCCTGCACTCCCCATCCCCTCCCGCTCCTTCCCGTTGCTCACCTTCAGCTTCGTGTCCTCATCTCGCAGGCTGAAGTGCTTCAGCTCGTAGTCAAAGGGAACATCATCATAGGTGTAGGCATGGAGGGAGAAGTCGCAGCTGGCCATAGGGAGACGGACCAGGTTGTACTCCAGCCCTGCGGGACCAGGACAGGCAGAGGTGGGCAGTGGCACAGGAGGACACCCATGCAAAGTCCCAGTCACCATCCTTTACACCTCCCCAGTGCTCACCCTGCTCAGAGAAGTAGGAGCGCAGCAGATGATCCTGGGCTGTTTCCGGCAGGGACAAGATGTTGATGGCAGCCGCATCAGTGATGGAGCCACCAAAGCCCTTCACCTCCTGGTACCGCTGTGCCGTGTCCACGGTCAGGACGAGGTCTGCAGGAGGGAGCCGTTGTGACGGCCGGCGGCAGGCAGGGTCCTGCCCATCTCCCACAGCCACAGCAGGTACCTGGGGCTCGCAGGCTGCGCTGGAAGCTCCCCTCGCTGCGCTCCAGCCTCTTCCCAGCCTTGCTGCTCTCATACTTGGCGTAGGTGCCCGGCACCGGCAGCACCACGGGGTCCAGCGTGTCGCAGTACGTGGCGTTGCAGACGCACACCATGGCATCACGGCCAAAGTACTTGGGGCTGCAGGGACGGGCCCCTGGGAAGCATGGGCATGGGGTGGGCAGCGGCCAGGCTGGGGTTGTCCCTGCTACAGCATCCTGCCTGCCCTGGGTGCTGCCTCTGCCCCTGTGGTAGGCACCCCATCACTGCCCCAGCCACCCCGTCACCACCCTGTGCACCCCATCACTGCTCCAGCCATCCCATCACTGTTCCAACCACCCCATCACCGTTCCAACCACCCCATCACCACCCTGGCCCCCTCATCACCACCCCGGACACCCCATCACCACCCCCGGTGCCCCAGCTCCGGTGCTGCCCCTGGCGCCTCCACACCCTGGCTCACCTGCAGCCCAGTGCACGGCCACCAGCAGCAGCCACAGCCGCCAGCCCAGGGCACCGGCCCCGGTGGCCGCCATGGCACCTTCCGTGTCCCCAGGCAGGTCCCGGGGTACGGAGCCTCCTGTCCCGGTGCCACCCCGGTCCGGTCCCACCGCGCTGGCTGCCCGCCGAGCCCGCAGCACCGGGCCCGCTGCCGGCCGAGCCTTTAAAGGCTCCCGGGCTTCCCGTCCCGCCCTGCAGGAACGGCACCGGCTCTGGGCGGGCCGGGCTCTGGTTGGGCAACGCAGCGGGCGCGGGCCAGGCCCTACCCCGCGACGGTAACCGGGAAGCGGAGCCGGGGGAGCCGCACGGACGGCGGGGCCGCTCAGCCCCTCCCCGGGCACCGGGGGCTCCGAGCACCGCTCGGGCACGGCCCTGGGTCCCCGTTGCTCCCGCCGGTACCGGCCGTCCAGCGGGGAGCAGGCGCCCGCCCCGCCCCTCATATGACCGGCGTCAGCTGACCCGTTCCCTCCCCTTCCCCCGCGGCCCCGGCGGCACAGCCCCGGTGGAGGCGGCGATCACTTTTATTCGGTCTCTAGCGAGGGGCGGCGCGGCCCGAGCGCTGCGGGACCGGCCCCGCAACGGGCAGCGGGGGACGGGACGGGACGGGACGGGCACGGCACGGCCGTCCGGGGGCACAGGCACAGCTGGTGCGGGGCACAGGCATGGCCGGGGAAGGGCGCAGGCACGGCTGGCGCAGGGCACAGGGCTGGGGGCACGGCGGCCCCGGGGCAGACGCCGCAGGGGACCAGCCCCTAACCCTGGGGAAGGGGCAGCGGCGCAGGACCCGGCCCCCCCCGGGGCGGCAGCCACGTCCGAGGGCCCTGGCGCGGAGCGGGGCCCCCCTTTGGGGCAGCGGGGAGGGGGGGCCGCGCTCAGAGGATGCTCTCGCTGTCCTTGCAGGTCCCGCTGAGGCTCCGCGGGCGGCCCCGCTCCAACCGGCGGGCGGACAGGAGGCGGCGCAGGGACGAGGTGGAGCTCAGGTCCCCGCAGCTCCGCAGGTGGATGCCGTCGTGGGGCCGCTCTGCTCCGGACCAGGCGCTCCAGGGAACCTGCAGCCCCATGGGGACAGGCTGCAGCCACGGCAGGGTGCTCCGACCCGGCCTTGAGCACTGCCAGGGATGGGGCAGCCACAGCTTCTCCATTCAACCCATCCCAGTTCCCCAGCACCCTCACAGGGAAGAGCTTCTGCCTTATCTCCAACCTGAACTTCCCCTGTTTGAACCCATCGCCCCTTGTCCTATCACTGCAGTCTCTGATGGAGCCCCATCGGGGCCTCCTGGGCTGTGCAAGGTCTCCAACATCCCTTAAGGCTGGGACATCCCAGTGGCTGTTTCCGGGCTCTGGTGACTCAGGGGCAAAGCCAAAACCATTGCGACACGCATGATTTTCCCACTCATAGCTACAGCTGGGGACTAAGGGAAGGAGCTGTCACGCCAAGGAGGGCTGGGCAAGGACAGTGACACAGGAGGGAAGCTCTGGCCACAGCCCCTGCCTGGAGCTGGGGTGCTGACACCATGGAGTGCACGGCATGGGAACAGAGACCCTGGAAGCGCTGGTGTGGAGATGGGGAGCAGAGGGAGGAAGAGGATGTGGATGGGGCCCCACTGTAACCCACCTGTTTGTGCCCCTGGGAGCTGTGCCCGGGCACCTCCACGCTGCGCTTAGGTCTCTGCAGGAACCTGGCCACGAGCCCGCGGGTGCCCCTGCAGACCTTGAGGTCCCCCAGGGATCGGGTCGTGCTCTTGGAGAGCTGCTCCGTCACCTTGGAGGGCAGCGCCTTGCTCTTCCCTGCTGAGCCAGCCCGGAGCAGCGGCGGGGAGTCACAGTGAGAGCGGCGGCACAGGCAGGCCTCGGAGCACAGCCCTGTGGGGACAGCACCATCGCACCCGGGACGGCTGCTCCCAACGGGACCTGTCCCCAGGCCCCAAAAGGGTGAGCTGGACCCCCATGGGCTACAGAAACACACCCCCCCCCCCCCCCTTGTATAGCCCAGTACATCCCAGTGCCCTGACCTGTATCCGCCGAGGAGCTGGACGTGGTGTCCTCCAGTGCTTTGGTATAAAGTACTTCCCTGAAATCTGCGGGGAGCAGAAAGAGGTCTCAGGCTTCGGCAGCATCCTGCACCCCTGTGCAGACACCAGCAACAGTCCAGGCAGCACGACCCTACAGCAAACCCTCCTCCCAGCACAGCAGAACCACCCTGCCTGTCCCTGCCACGGGCAGGGACCCCTTCCCCTGGAGCAGGGTGCTCCAAGCCCCTGTGTCCCACCTGGCCTTGAACACTGCCAGGCATGGGGCATCCAAACCTTCTCCATCCAACCCATCCCGGTGTCCCACCACCCTCACAGGGAAGAGCTTCTGCCTCACACCCCATCTCCATCCCCCCTCTGTCACGTTAAAGCCATTCCCTTGTCCTGTCCCTACAGGCCCTTGCCCAAAGCCCCTCTCCAGGTTTCCTGTAACCCCTCAGGCACTGAAGCTGCTCTGAGGTCTCCCCGGATCTCTTCCCAGGGATCAAACCCCAGGGTCTGGAGCGGCAGGAGCGGGGATTTACCCCCGCTTATCCTGACTCAACACCATTTGACCCAGCCCCATTGCACGCCTCTGCTGCGCCCCGGCTGCAGGAGAGCATCCCCCTGCCGCGCCCATCGCCGCCTACCAGCGCGTCCGGCCGCGGGGACGCCGGGGTCGCTGTGCGCCCTCACGAGCGGGCGCTGGCTCTGCGCGGGGCCCGGGGACGCGGGGCAGGAGGTTTCGCTGTTGCGCCGGAGCTGCCCGAGGCGGCCGGGGCCGAGCCCCGAGGGGCGGCAGCGCCCCCGCAGCTCCCCCTTGCCCTTGAGCCGCACCTCGGGGAAGCAGGGCCCGGCGCAGCGGGACAGCCCCTCCAGGCGGTTGCAGCTGTGGGTGACGGCTCCCCCCGCCAGGACGCCGTCGTGGCCCGGGTCCGCCGCCGTGGAGCAGGAGTAGGAGCGCTCCCCCCGCACCCGCGGCTGCGGCACCTCCTCGAAGGGCCCCTGCAGGCCCAGCATGGGGCTGCGCGGGTGGTGGCTGCACTGCACGCAGTCCACGCTCAGGCAGTAACCCGCGCGGCTGCGCTGGATGGAGCGGAACAGCACGAAGTCGACGGAGCGCATGGAGCCCTGCAGCTCCAGCAGGCACGAGTCCTCCGAGGGGCTGCTGTCCCCCGGGATGTCCATGATCTCGGACATGATGAGGGACCCGCTGTCCATGGACACTGCAAGGAGCGGAGCGGGTGGCAGTGAGGAGCTGCTGGGAAGGAAGAGTCCCCCCGCGGCCCCTCTCCCAGTCCTCAATGGGGCACAAGCACCTTCTCCGCTGAGCACGATGGAGGGGACGCGGTCGCAGGCGCAGGTGTGTGAGCCGTCCGTCAGGGGCAAGTCAAAGAGGGTGGCCTACGGGGTGACACAGTCAGGGCGCAGGCAGAGCAGGAAGGAGCCCAACGTGCCTGCCCCATCCCCGGACCACATCTCCTACCTGGCTGTCCCCCCGCAGCCCCATCACAGTCTCATAGGAAGGGGGGAAGTCAGTCGGGTAGAGGGGCATGGGGCTGTCCATGGAGCCGTTGTAGGTGATGCTGCGGAGGCAGGAGCAGAAAAGCTGCGTTGGGTGGGACAAGCCCTGCCTGTGGCTCACAGACCCCCGGCTCCAGCAGGCAGGTACCTCTGCGCATCAGTCTCCGAGCTGCACGTGTACTCGGGGGGGTAGTAGGGGGGTGGTGGCACCGGGGGCACGAACTCCTCGAAGTCCATCATGCTCTGCAGAAAGGTGTCGGGGGGGGACGTGCATTCCAGCGTCACGGAGCTCGAGCGCTGCGGCACCAGCTGCAGCGAGAGGGGAGGAGGAAGAGCTGGGACCCCCTGCACAGGCATCCGGCAAGGGATGCGCATCCCAAGCCTTAATCCGGCTGGGGCCAGGTCCTGCCCTGGCACCCCGGGGAATGCCAGTCCCAGCCCCGTCTGCTCCTGGGCCAGGGCTGGGACTCACCGCATGGACGATATCGAGGGAGAAGATTTGGATGCAGCACACAACAGCAGAGAGCGTGCAGACGACGGTCGAGAAGACGGTCAAGCCGCAGACACTGAAGAGGAGGTCCTGGGGGGCAGCGGGGTGAGCGCAGGCGCCCGCAGAGCATCGTGGGGTGCCCCAGGGAGCCCTGGCCCCGCGCGGGGTGCCCCACCTTGAGCGCCGCACGGATGCTGCGGCAGTCGGGGTTGGGGAACATGGTGAGCATCTCGCTCTGCCGGCTGCAGGAGGCGGGGGGGGGCTCCGGGCGGGCCTGGCAGCAGACACACGAGTCCCTCTCCTGGGGACAAGGAGCACCATGAGGGATACCCCTGAGAGCCACCGGGACATGGCCCCACGGGACCCCTGCCCCACAGCTCCCCGTGTGGCCAGAGCCCGGCGGCCAGGGCTGAGCTGTGCTCCACTGCCCCGGGGCCCACCGCACCCTCTCACAGGCCTGCAGGGACTTCACCAGCTGCGCGTTCTGGCAGGACAGGATGGACCCGGCGAGGCTCAGCATGATACCCAGCACCGAGAGCAGCGTGAAGAAGGTGATCTGTGGGCACAGGGAGCTGGTGCGTGCAGCCATGCATCCACCCACAGGGGTAGGGAGGGATGCTCAACCCCTTGCTCTGCCCTCCCTGCCCTGGCCCCCCCAACACCTACCACCAGTGTGAGGGGCCGCTTCCAGGAGATGATGCCGACAAGGCCGGACAGCGCCAGCTGCAGACGCACAGGCCCAGGGGTGAGGATGAGGAGGGGTCTCTGCCAGGCAATGGGGCCCAGAGCAGCCCCCCAAACCCCTTGGCAGAGCCCCCCAAGCCCCGTGGGCCTGGAGCCAGCCCAGGGCTGTTCAAGCAGCCCCAGCGCTGCTGCAAGCCGGGCGAAACTGCTGATTCAGGGCCCCGGGGAGCCTGGGGACTGCGGGCAGCTCCGCGCCGCAGGGGCACCGTGGGGCTTGTGGGGGTCCTACCTTCACCCCACACACGCAGCGGGCAGAGAACCCCAGTGTGGGGCTGCGGAGCAGGGCAGAGCCGCCCAGTCTGTCCCCCCACCCCCGCCATCACTGCAGCACCCCCCGCTCCCCCTCCTCCCAGCACAAACTGCTCAGGGCCTGGAGAGAACCGAGCCCCCCCCGCCCCGTTCCTGGGGTCACCATCCCACATTGTCACCCTGGAGGAAGCCTTGGGATTCTCCCACAATGCACCACGGCAGGCACAGGCAAGGGATGGGGGAGCAGCGGGACCACACTCCCTTGGGACAGCGCTGAAGGGACCCGGCAGAGCGGGGCTGGCCAGGACCCCCTCCGCGCTGCCCCGGCCCCGGACTCACCGAGAAGCCGGCCCAGGAGGGGCAGGAGTGCCGGATCCTGGCGGAGGGTGTGATGGTGGCGGCCACCAGGCTGAAGGTGACGATGAGGACGCCCAGGATGACTTGGATGAAGCCGAGCACCAGCAGGATCTGCAGCCAGGTCCGCTGGACGCGGAGGTGGGTGAGGCTGCGGGACGTGCGGCCGGTCAAGGAGCGGCTGGACTCGCTAGGGGAGGGCATGGCTGCCCCGGGCGGCGAGCGGCGGCTGCGGGCCCCGGAGCCCCGGGGCAAGCGGCGGCACCGCGCCAGGACGGCGCCGGCCCCGGGGAAGCAGGAGCGGGCGCTCTGCGGGAACGGGCCGGGCTCCACCTTTCGCCTCCCGGAGGATGCTGACGGCGGCGCTGCCCTGCCCGGGCTGTCCTGGAGCAGAACCCGCCTCACCGGTACCTCCGCATCCCGGGCAGAGCCGGGCCCACGGCTCCCGGCGGGCGGCAGAGCGCGGCCCCGCGGCTTCCTCCTCTCTCGCCGGGCCCCCGCGGAGGGCTCATAGCGCGATGCCGAGGCCGGGAACCGCCGCCCGGGACGCGGCGCCCGGGCCCCCGGGGCAGCGCCAGGAGTCGGGAGCCTCGGGCGGGGGCCCGGGCGCCGCCCAGGAGCATCCTCCGCGGGGCGGGGGGGGGGTCCCGCTGCCCGGAGCGCCCCCGGTGCCGGGTGCTGCGCATCGCCCCCCGCCGAGCCCCGGCGGCCCCCGCGCTCCCCGCTCCGAGCTCGCTCCCGCCCCGCAGCGGGGCCGCGCCCCCCACTTCCCCGTGGCACGCCGGGAGCTGGAGCTCGGCTCGGTCCGCCCCGCCGGGGCTGCGGCACCACTCCCGGTCCCGCCCCCCCCGGTCCCGGTGCACGGAGGCGCGGAGAGAAACTTCATTTATTCCTTAAATAAAAGCCGAGGGCGGCGTCGGGCTCAGCAACACGCGGGGCCGCGGCAGGAGCAGCCACCGGTGGGGCGGCAGCGGTGGGAGCAGGGACCCCCCCGGGGCAGAGGCACCGGCCCCATGGATGAAGGCACGAACCCTCCCACCAGCCCCGGAGCAAAAGGGACAAACCCGGGGCACTGGGAGGAGATGGGGCAAAGCAGAACGAGCAGGACCCAGCCCAGGGCTCCCCGCGGGGATGGGTGGGGGGGGGCACAGGGAGGGACAGGCTGCGGGGGAAGAGTGCTGGGCAGGGGGGCAAGGAGGTGATGAAAGTGTGAGGGGGCTTTAGGGGTACCGGGGTCCCTCCTCAGTGCCCAGCCCGGCTCTGGCCTCCACCACAGGTCTGGCTCAGCTGCTGTGGGGCACACGGCTTCAAGGCCAGCAGCACCCACACCGCTGCCCGGGTGCGTCACACAGTCCTTATTCCTGTGCCTGGAGCTCAGCTGGAACAGACGGGGACAAGGAAGGGGGACGGAATGGGGGCTGCCCCCCAGCTCAGCACCCTGGGGACAGAACCAGCCCCCCCACCACCAGAGCAAGCTCCTGGGGAAAGCAGCGGACGGATGATGCTCCTGGCAGAGAATCGGGTCCTGCAGCAGAGAGAAGGCAGGGAAAAGCCCCCAGGGAGAACCTGGGGGGCACAAGGGGAACCCAGGGCAGACAGATGGGGAAACGGGAATGCCCAAGGAATGGGAGCAGCCATTTCGGTCCCTGTCACACATCTGGAGGAGCCTCCTGCCCCCAGCAGCTCAGTGCTGGAAGGGAGGGCGATGACAAGCACAGGGCTTGGCCACAGCGCCTCCCACCCCGCTCCATCCCCAGTCCGCTGAGGGGAGGGACCAGCACAAACCAGCGCATCCTCCATCCGTGAGGAAAGGGTTAGAGCAGCAAACGCTTCGGGCACCAGCACTTCCAAGCTGGGATGAGGCAGCCTCTGAGAGCTGATGCAGACACACGGGGATCCAATGAAAGTGCAACCTGGATTTCCTCTCCCTCAGGAAGAGCCCACGTGCGGTGAGGAGCCGGGGCCCTGCCCTAGGGCGCCCGGAAGGCGTTGGTGGCAGCGCCCGCAGCGGCGTTGGCCGCCGCGTTGCGCACAGCCTGGTTGGAGAAGACCCCGGCAGCAAACTCCTCCTGTGCCTTCTGGAAGCTGGCGCCCGTTCGGCGGTACAGGGAGTGGATCTGGGATTGAGAAGGGGCTCAGGGCCAGGGCACCCCAGTGAGCAGAGCTGTGTCCGTGCCTGCCAAAGCCACCCCAAAAGGTGCTCCAGCCCTGAGGGCTGATCCAAACTCACCTTTTTCAGCATGATGATGCCCAGCACAGCCACTGCTGTGAAGGACAAGGACACCAGGATCATCATCACCGCCACAGCTGTGTTCTTCCGCAGCGCTATCAGGCTCAATATCCAGCCACTGCAACACAAGAGGCAGTTGGACAGCACAGGTTCCCTCTTGCCTGCCTGCCTCCTCTCTTTCTGGAGTACTCGGCTGGCCAGAGCTCCCCGGCTCTGCCCCACACACACCTGAACCCCCAGTTGGGGATGCCAATGGCCTGCAGCACATACATCACATTCTGGGCAAAGAAGACGAAGAAGAAGACAAAGAAGTTGAAGGAACTGTCACTCCTGGGAGAAAGAGACAGGAGAGGTCAGGCCACAGGGAAAAACCCCCAAAACCTCCCTTACAGCAGGGGGGGCATAAGGAGAACACGAAGCTCAGTGCAGAATCACAACAGCCCCAGACCCAAAGGCCACCAAAGGAGCTGGGACACCATCTTTCCCCCCTCGGAGCACAACGAGCAGCCCCATGCCCCCATCTCCAAGCCCCAGCCATGATGCAGCCTCCCCACAGCGCTGCTTTGCTGGCCCGGGAGCAGATACACACCTGAAGGCTTTGTACATGGGCCTGTACCAGCAGACAAAGGAGCAGGGCGTGTAGAGGAGAGCCCAGAGGATGGAGAGCCCGAACCCAGAGCCAGACGAGGGCTCCACACAGAACCAGGCCAGCGAGGTCAAGAAGTTCAGGAAGAGGGCAATGGTGCTGGCTGAGAGAGAGGCGATGTCAGTAGGGCCCCCAGTCCCGCACGCATCGCGTTAACCCCAGCTCCTGCAGAGCACACGGGACACTGGCTGCCCTGCTCCCCGCCGGGACTCACCCATCCAGAGGTAATACATGGTGGAAACGGTCTTCTGGAAGTCGGCGGGGATCTCCACCGGGATGTCCTGGTAGAAGCACGGCTTCACGGGGCAGAAGGACGGCAGCGGGGGCCAGTTGTTGAGCCGCGCTGCAGGGGGAAGGAGGCGACAGGCAGAGAGCGGCGGTGCCCGCGCAGGGGAGCCCCGAGGGGACGGTCCCTGCTCGGCCCCCCCGGCCACTCACTTGCGGGGCCGCCGAGGGCCGCGTTCTGCAGCTCCCTCTCCCTCCGCTCCAGCTCCTCCGCCTTCCGGTTCAGCTCCTCCTGCCGCTTCAGCAGCTCGGCCGTGGCGGCCGCCGCCGCCGAGGCCTGCGGGGCAGGGGGGAAAGAAGCGCAGGCGCTGGGGGTGCCGCCTGCTCCCCCGCGCCCTTCCCGCGGAGGCCGCGCCGCCCGCCCCGGTACCTGCGTGCCGTAGGAGCCGTAGTTGCGGGGCTCGGTGGGGCTGGCTCTGCGCGGGGGCTGCGCGGCCGCGGCCGGGGCCTGGTACGGCGGCGGCGGCGGCGGCTGCGGAGGACAGAGGAGCGCGGTGAGGGCCCGCCCGCCGCATCCCGGCCCCCCCCGCCCCGCCGGGGCCTCACCGCGCCGCTCTCGAAGGGGTTGTACGCGTCCAGCGCCGCGCTCTCGGGGCCGGGCCCCGGCGGCAGCAGCGCCGGGTCCTGCAACACAGAACGGGCGGGGTGAGGCGGCGGACGGAGGGAAGGGGGACCCGCGCCGCCGCTGCCCCGGCCCCGCACCTGGAACGGGTTGTCCGGTAGCACCGCGGGGCCGCCGCGCTGGGCCATGGCGGGGGCGGGACCGGGACCGGGACCGGGACCGGGACCGGGACCGGGACCGGGACCGGGACCGGGACCGGGACCGCCTCAGCCCCGTCAGCCGCAGCCCCGCCTCCCGCCGCCGCCGATTGGCTGCCGCCCCTGACGTCACCAGCGCCGGGAGAGCCCTGCGGCAGGGGCTCCTCTGCACACGCGCGGGGCGGGGCTGGGCCGGCGGGCACGTGATCGGAGCTGTCCGGTAACGGGAACCGGCGCCCCCGTGATCCCCCCGTGCCAGCGCCCCAGCACCCTCACAGGGACGGTTCTGCCTCTGACCCCGTCTCCATCCCCGCCCTGGGAGCTCAAAGCCATTCCCTTGTCCCGTCCCCGCATCCCTTGCCCAAAGCCCCGCTCCCGGAGCCCCTTCAGGTCCCCCACTAACTGAGGTGAAGCCAGGCTTCCCCTTCATCCCTCTGCGCGGTGCCAGGACAGCGCCTGCCACAGGCAGATGGTGCCCCAGGCAAGTGCTAAGCTCAGAACAGACCAGGAGTGCTCTGTTACTGCCACCCCCCCAGCACGGCTCTCCCAGACACGCTGGCAAAGCAACTGCACCGAGCTGGAACCACGTCTGAAACAGCCCCAGGAAGTCCCACGGCAGCACTGGTAAGAGCCAGAGACAGACACCGAGGCGGGTGCTCGACAACATCTCTTTTCCTACAGCCGTCACCGAGAGCGGCTGCTGCTGGCTCAGACCCAGACCCGGGGCTTTATTCACTTCATATTTATTTCTCCACAAAGACTGTACAAAATCCTTATAAAACTCTGGTGTGGGGATGGGCTATGACATTGATCCAAAAAATAATTCCCATGCAGTCCCACCAGTTTCATAACTTACAGGGAAACAGATAAGCTACAGCGAGCTGTGAGTCCTGGAGTATGTACACCAAGGAGGGCAGGAGGAGACAGAGCAACACGTTAACAGAGGTATTTACATATGGACATACAGGCCCCCTCACCTCATGATAACGGCAGCAGCAACAGTAGGAGGTTGGGCCCGTGGTGCTCAGAGGCCGCTATAGAATATGGGCTATTTACAGTATCTCACATATTAACAGCTTTACAAACTTGTCCAGGGGAGTTTTACTCATGTATAAAAAAAAACCAAACCAAAAGCACCAAAAGTCTGAATAGAAATGACACAGGCCTCCACGGGGGCTAGAATGTGAGCGCAGGCTGGCGCCTGGGCCGTCACCGGCTGATGTCCCTGCTTGAGTCCCACAGTTTCGTGCTGGGCTCCATCTCCAACATGTCAAAGAAGGGGTGTTTGAGGGCTTCGGCCAGGGTGAGGCGCTTGGAGGGCTCGTACTCCAGCATGCTCTCGATGAGGTCAAAAAGGCGGTGATGGTCCTCGGCCTCCGAGGTCAGGTATCGCTGGGCAGATGGAAGGGGAAGGTTAGTGCTGAGGATGCTGCAAGCAGCCCGCTCACAGGGCTCTCCCTGGGCTGAATGGCCAAGACGTGGGAAGGTTTGGTTTGTTCAGACCATCACTCATCCCAGACCTGAGCTCTACGCTTTACCACTGCCTCATGCACGGAACTGCTGAGC